TTTTAACACTGAGTTTGATATATTTTTGACCAACAAGGGAGTTAAAAGGCACCAGGAGTAAACAGCAAAGTGTAGTTGAGGTCACAATCAGATCAGCCATGATCTCATCAAATGGCGGAACAAGATTGAAGGGTTGAATGGTCTACACCTGCCCCTAACTCATACATCTGTACATTCACCTATAAGTAATGGGCTAAGAGACAGCTTCATGCATTTTGTTTCTGTCCACCACTGTAGGATGTGAATTCAGGGCTTCTTATTGGCTCCTAGTGCTGATTGGTTAGAGTTTTCCAATTGGAGCTGAATGTTCTCAAAGCGGGGATGCTTCTGACTTCATTAATTGGTAGAGGGTTCTCAAGTGGAGTGCGAGTTGAGTGGTTGGTGAATGGATTTACATCCATTCAGATCCTCAATAAACTGTCACCAATGAGTCACCTGCAAAAAACTTACTGCCCAAAAGGAAGCCACCCAACTTGGCAATAGGCAACCGAACAGAGAGCAAAGAGACTACAGCAGCATCTTAAAGGAAAGGGAGTCAAATTCTCCAGAGTGATGGCACATAACATTTTAGAGAAGAAGACAACATTCCTGCAAAAATTGCAGGTTAAGGACAATACATTTGCAAGTCTTTAAGGCTCAAAACTTACAAATCGCCGCCATAAAAATATGGTTGTCTCTTGACTTGTGCTATACATGGGGGTGGTGGGGCTGTGACCAGAAAATTACAATTGCGAGGTTGCAGGGGAAATAAATGACAGTAATGTACCTGATTGTCTAAGGGAGGTTATGGTTATGACTGAAAGAGGTCTGAAAGAGTTTGAGAGGGTTGATACTGAGGAGTTCCATAAACACCACGCAGAATGATGATTGATACAGAGTATGTGGACATCACTGGTTCAGCCAGCATTTATTGCCCTTCCTTACTTGCCCTTGAGAAGGTGGTAGTGAGCTGCCTTCTTGAATCACCGCAATCCATTGAAATTATATATAACTTGAATTAGTTCAGTTGGTTGTTCCAATAGTAAATAAGGGTGAAAGGAGATAGTGAGTACAGACAGTGTGGACAGAACAAGTTTGAATCTTGAAGAAGTGAGACCTAGTATCTGGTCCTCAAAGTCTCTATAACAATGTTTATCCTATCAACGTAACCTATAACTAGCTGGTAACATGCAATGAGTTAGTTAACAAGATACTCTAATAGTTAGAGGAGGAAGTGATTCTCCTCTACCACATTAGACCAAGTAAACTGTGCAGTTTCCTATATTCAAAGAGGATGAGGGCAGCCACCTTTAGCATCAGCTGGTATACCGATATAACATGGTGAGCTGTGGTGGGGAATTGATTTTACTGCTCATACAACTCATCATGTTGAGATCTTCAGACTCGGCTTGCAGTCTTTCAGCAGCAGGGAAGTGCTGAAGACTTTTTTAAAAAGCAGTAGGAACACTTACGGCAATATTCCAGTAAATGGTAAAAGCAATTTGTTGTAAGACAGTATAGATTCTAGACAGGCAATGCTGTACCTTGATAACAGGTTTATAACTTCTTAGTATGTGTTATGAACCAGACCAAACCCCCTCAAAGCATGACAAGGAGACAACTTAGACCCTTACATTTATCTTATTTAAAAGTAAATATAAGGAGCTGCATTCCAGATATGATTTGGTTGGTTATTTGGTTCGATTTGGTTATTCCGACACCATAGTCAAAATACAAAAAAACAAGGATTGGCAAAACTTTAAATCTATCAAAATACGTAACAAAATAATATATTATTTAACCACTACTCATCAACTATTCCAATATGGCAGCATCCCATAAACACACTCTTGGCAAAGGCAAATTCAGCAAAACAGATGTCCCTCACTTGCAATCTTTTGCAACCCAGGAGAAAGCACATTGACAGAATGAACCTAGCTGCAGACAGACAGATATCAAGCTGCTTCCGCAGCTGCAGAGAGAGAAAGCTGTATCTAGCAGCTTCAACTTCGAAAACCCCAACTTTAACAAATAAAAGCAAAACTAAAACCCTGGGTCTGTGTGAGCCTGACTCCACCACTCATGCTTCTTTTCGTCCACTAAGAGAAAACCAAAGCTATTCCCTCTACTTTCCATGGAGCAGATACCTTGGCACCATGTTTACAACACGCCCCTGGCTCCCAGCCACCCCCCATTCAAGAGAACCAGGATAAATGAATCCTTCCTAAAGGTACATCTTTATTCATTAATGGGATGAGGGTGTTGCTGGCCAGGCAGCATTTATTGTCCATCCCTAATTGTTCAGAGGGCAAGTCAACCATATTGCTGTGGGTCTAGAGTCACATGCAGGTCAGACTAGGTAAGGATGGCAGTTTGCTTCCCTAAAGGAAATTAGTGAATCAGACGGGTTTTTCTCCCCAACAATTGATTCATTAGATTCTTAATTCCAGATATTTTATTGAATTCAAATTCTACTGTCTGCCGTGGCAGGATTTGAACCCAGGTCTCCAGGAACATTATCTGGGTCTCTGGATTAACACTCCAATGATAATACCACCAGGCCATTGCCTCCCCCACCATGTTTACAACACCACACCCCCTTTTAAGAGAACTAGGATAAATAAATCCTTCCTAAAGTTATATATCACCACACCATTTAAATTCCATTGCCACAGAGTCCTCAACCACTCCTTCTATGACAAACCCTTCATTCCCTGGATCATTCTTGTGAACCTCTTCTGTGCTAACTCAGCCCTTTTTTACCATGCACTTCCAAGTAGTCTGCAATCTCTTCTTTAATAATGGACGCTAAAATCTTACCAATGGCCGAGGTCAGGCTAACTGGTTTATAATTTCCCGTCTTCTGCTTCCCTCCCTTCTTAAACAGAGGTGTTTCATTAGCTATTTTCCAAACCTTTAAGACCCTCCCAGTGATTCCTAAATGATCAACACCAATGCCACCACAATCTCCTCAGCTCTCTCCTTCAGAACTCAGGGTTGTACTCCATCTGGTCCAGGTGATTTATCCACATTCAGACTTTCAGATTCCCCAGCACCTTCTCCTCAGCGATGATCACTGCACTTACCTCTGCCCCTGATTCACTTGAAGTTCTAGTATTTTGATGGTGTTTTCTACTGTGAAAACTAATGCAAAGTATCTGTTCAGTTCCCCTGCCACTTCTTTGTTCCCCATTACTCCTTCTCCAGCCTCATGTACCAGCAGTCTGCTCTTGCCTCACTCTTACCTTCTTTATAACTAAAAATAACTTATTTTATATTACTGTACAGCTTACCTGCATATTTCATTGTCTTCCCACTTAGTGCTTTTTTAATTGTCCTCTGCTGGTTTTTAAAGGCTTCCCACTAATCCTCATCACATTGTATGTGTTTTCTTTTGTTTTGATGCTATCCCTGACTTTCCTAATCAGCCATAGTTGTATCGCCCTCTCCTTAGCATTTCTTCTTCCTTGGGATGAATTCCTGCTGTGCCTGCCGAATTACCCCCAGAAACTCCTGCCATTGTTGCTCCACCATCTTCCCTGTTTGGCTCCCCTTCCTATCAACACTGGCCACCTCCCACCTCATGTTTTTGTAGCTCCCTTTACTCAGTTGCAATACATTTACATCTGCCTCCGACTTCTCCTTCTCAAACTGCAGGGTGAATTCTACCATTTTATGGTCACTGCCCCCAAGGGGTTCCTTCACCTTAAACTCCCGAATCAAGTCTGCCTCATTACACATCACCAAACCCAGATGCGCATGTTCCCTAGTAGAGTCTACCACAAGCTGCTGCAAAGAAAACTATCTTGAAGACATTCCACAAATTCCTTTTCTTGGGATCGACTGCTAACCTGATTTTCCCAGTCCACGTGCATATTGAAATCCCCCATTATTATTGTAATAGTGCCATTCTTAAATGCCTTTACTATCTCCTGATTTATTTTCCTCCCCTCATCCTGAAAACTACTGGGGGCTCTACATAACTCCCATTAGGGACTTTTTTCCTTTGCAGATCCTCAACTCTACCCACATAGATTCTATGTCTTATGACCCTATATCGCTTCTTGCTATTACATTAATTTCATTTCTTGCTAACATGACAACCCTCTCCCCTCTGCCCTCAGTCCTCTGTTGACTCCCCTCCTTCTTATGTTTGTCCCCTTATTTGCTGTGCCTGAAGTTAAATTCCTGATCCTTTCCATACTCTCTGCCCCATTACTTGTTCTGGAAACTTAATAATCACTTCTGGACATTTTGATTTATCCCTCAACCTGATTGGCTACATATCCTGTGGTTCATTCTCCTAATGAAGGCTGTACAAATGTTTTTTTTTCTGGAAGCATAAGAACAGCAGTAATAAAATGATTTGTCATTTTTGCATCAATTCTACCTCCATATCATTGATTTGAAATTCCTCCACAGAAAGCCAGTCCTCAATCAACCCTCTGAACTCACCCACAAAGTCTCCTTGTCCATTGTCTTCCTCTGCATTGTGTCCAAGGAAATTTCCTTAAAAGCACTAAATATGTACTAGCTGTGCTGATTCTTTCCTTGATTTAATACACTGTAAAATTTGCATTTTAGTGGCTGCACCAATTCCACCCTGCTTGGCCATAGACTGGTGCTATACATTTAAAGAAAAATTCTTCAACTTGAGCATGTGTCGATACTTTCTTGGTTTGTTTGACGGCAGACTTTGGCAAATTCTCTAGTATAAGTATTGAGTGCTTCGGCATGACATTTATTTGAGCTGAACCAGACAGAACATCGCAAATAACCATAAATCTTGCATTTATATTTTATTCATTCATGTAAGTAGGTGTTGCTGGCTAGGACAGCATTTATTGGCCCTCCCTAATTGCCCAGGATTAAGTGTCAACCACATTTATATGTAGGTGGAAGGAATTAATCATTTTTGACAATACTATAATGAAAATATATTTATGGGTGTGAATTGATGACCACTTTCTGGTACAGTTGCTCCCCCAGTAACATCCATTTACAAATGTGATTTTGTTTAGTTGTTTCTCGCAGCCTTGACATTTGCTTTCTTTGCGAAAGCGTTAGCTGGGAGCTACATGAAGAGTGCAATCACGCAAATAGAGAGACGCTTCGACATTCCAAGTTCACTCATTGGCATCACTGACGGGAGCTTTGAAATTGGTAAGTAGTAAACTCAGAAATAAACCTGTCCGTGTACAGGTTCAGAAACAAGTTGTGATTATCTTCCACATTTGTCGTTTTTTTTGACTAAAGGGAATCTGATGGTGATTGCCTTTGTGAGTTACTTTGGAGCGAAGTTTCATCGACCAAAACTAATCGCAACTGGTATGATCCTCATGGCCATTGGCACGTTTATAATTGCGTTGCCCCATTTCATCATGGGACGGTAAGTTTCTAAGGCCAAATGTTTAGCAGTAGTCTAGATTCTATGAAAAAACATTAACGTGTTACTGAAAGTAATGTTCGATATTACATTAATGAGACTGTTGCCATTTCTGCAGCTATGAATATGAATCAGCAATTAAACCTTCAAAAAATTCTACATTAAATGTGTCCCTGTGTTCAACTGAACGATACGACAAGCTAACATCAGAATTCCTGAACACCTCCTCAAAAGTGCCTAAACTGGGTAAGTCAAGATTCCATCGGATTTTGAACAGATTATTCTTTTCTCTTATACTGCTACTTTCTACTCTTCATAGCAGAATCTTTGTCTTGTATCAGGTTGTGAAAAAAGAATTGAATCCTCCCTCTGGGTCCTTGCATTCCTTGGAAATCTCATACGTGGAATTGGGGAGACACCAATCATTCCTTTGGGTATATCTTATCTTGATGATCACACCAAACAAGAAAACTTTGCCTTCTATTTAGGTAATTGCAAAGTTTCCAAGTGAATTGGAATAAATTGTACTTTTCAAAGTAAAGAGAAGTTGCAGGGGTAAGAGCCTTCACACTCAAGCTCAAGCTTTGTAGCAAGTGTCTTCCTTGCTTTAATATATTGCTAGAGAGGGAAGCAAGGAATTATAGCACCTTGATCGCCTCTAATTGAACAATCCCATTTTATTTCAGGATGCATGTACACATTTGGACTGCTAGGACCAATATTTGGCTTTGTGCTGGGATCATTATGTGCCAGATTGTTTGTGGACATTGGATTTGTGAGCTCAGGTAAGGACTGTGAAACGTTTCTAATATTTATCAACTGACTTGCTTTCCAAAGCAAAAGACTTTGGCTTTTCAAATCCCAAAGAAAGCCAACTTTTTTATGTTTAAGGGCAGGCTGGAACTATCCACAAATGAGAAGGCAACTCTAGGGAAAAGTGGGGATAGTAAAGTGGGAGTAGTTTTATATATATCATATATAGTGAGACTCAAGTGGTTTGTGCTTTAGACTGAAGGTAATTTTATGAGGTTGCAGCTGCCAGGAATCCACAAGGCAACAAGCTTTTCCCTTGCTTGCCAAATTCAAGAAACCCATAATTCTACGACTGGTTAAGGCAACCATACAGCAAAGATCTTGCACCAGTACTGGAGCCCTCACAGTCTGATCTTGGAACAGCTGAAAACAAAACTAGCCTACAAGAAGTGAAAAGTTCATTTAGAAGAGGACAAACGAAAGGTGGGCATTGATATTGCACCTTTCATCACCTCAAAATGTTTCAACGTGCTTTTGAGCCAATGAGCTACCCTTTGAAGTGTAGACACTGATGTAATATCAGAAGCAACTTATGCACAGTAAGATTCCACAAACAGTGATGCGATGACAACAAGATCGCCTAACTTAGTGATGTTAATGGAGGGATAAGTTTTTGCTATGACACCAGAAAAACCTCAACTGTTTATCAAAATTATGCCGTGGAATCTGTTGCATCCACTGAAGAGGGTAGATTAGATATCATTTTAACATCTCATCTAAAAGTACAGCAGTTACATACATAGAAACATAGAAGATAGGAGCAGGTGGAGGCCATTTGGCCCTTCAAGCCTGCTCCACCATTCATCACAATCATGGCAGATCATCCAACTCAATAGCCTAATCCTGCTTTCTGTCCATAACCTTTGATCCTATTCACCCCAAGTGCTATACCTAGTCACCTCTTAAATACATTCAACATTTCGGCATCAACTAATTCCTGTGGTAATGGATTCCACAGGCTCACTAGTCTTTGGGTGAAGAAACGTCTCTTCATCTCAATCTTAAATCGTCTACCTTGAATTTCCATACTGTGACCCTCCAACAGTGCAGCACTGGGGTCTAGCACTGGAGTAGGTAGACTTTCAACCTTTTAACTGAAAGGGAAGAGTGCTGCCGATGGGGCCAATTAAGGTCCATAATATATACAAATATGTTGATATTTCTTTGTTCCTTAGTGTTTTTACTTTGTGTTTTGATGTGTCAATTTCTGGGAGCTTTGTGCACACAATGTTCCACGCATAACTTCAACTGTATGTTTCCAAGGTGTCCATAGTAACAACAAGGGTTTGATAGAGTTCAGCTACATAATGACACTTTCAATATGCCCTGCTCATGATTTTGGCTAAGCTGAGCAAAGTTGAGAGGGACTAATGATAGCTGTATTCCTTTACTTTATGTAGGCAAATGTTAACAATAAGAGTTGGGAATTTCATTTCCTTGGCTATCAGACAATTTTCCTTTTATGTTTTACTTTCTCCCATATGCAGTCTCTATTAAATGCTCATTTACTTATCGTATTGATAAGAGCATCAGTTCTCCAGTTAAACATCGTGACTTGGTGCCATTCTCCTGCCTTTTCTCTATACTATTGTACATTTGTTTCTCTTTCAATAATTATCTAGTGCTTTCTAAAATGCTTGAATTGAACCTGCCTCTACCACAGTTCCAGGCAGTGCATTCCAGACCTATTCCTAGCTACTGAGTTGCTCTTTCTCTATTGCCGTCCAGATCTTTCCTATGTATCTTTATTCTAATATTTTTCCCAAAGAATTTGTTCTTAAGAATCTGAACCTAGTCATCTTGGTACCTAAGATGATGCTGTAAGGGGTGACTTGTAAACTCTTCACTGCACTCATGTGAGTACATGTGACAATGAAGCTAATTCTAGTTCTAATTCTAATATCTGATACACTTATGGAAGTTACCATTGGTTATGCTCCCAACACTTTTATAGCAGCTCATTCTACATCCCAACATCGTGGTGTGTCAAGAAAAGTTCTACATCTTCTCTTTGTGTGTTTTTTTTTCTAATTATTTATGCAACTTGAGCATAACCAGCTAGGCCAGCATTTATTGCCATTCCCTAATTACCTAGAATGCATTTAGGAGTCAACCATGTTGCTATGGATTCAGAGTCACCTGTAGGCCAGACCTGCAGATCTCCTTCATGAAAGAGCATTAGGGAACCAAATGGACTTTTACAACAATCAACTGTGGTGAGATAGTTAAGATCAGCAGTGAGGAACTTTTCAACATCAGAAGCAAGTAGTCCCATTTTCCAACCAAGTGTTGGACGGTGAGATGAGATTCTCACTAGGGAGTGGCAACAGACCAATTTGTGTTCATTTATATGCTTACTATTATGTCATCTCTCCTCATTGAAGTACAGTTTCCCATTCCCCCAGCCACCAGATAGAGACAATTACTGACATGCAAGTCAGACCAGTTACCTGCCTACTCCAACTCACCACTTGCTCCTTCACAATTCCATTCTGTACATCAGTCACTAGCAACTTAGACTATGATCCATGGGCAGTGCTCACATGCACCCCAGGTCACCAGGATCTCCAGGTCCCCATTGGCAAAATGGGCTACCAATCTCCCTCTGTCCAACATGTTTCAGAGCAATTGGCAAGGACCATGCAAGGCATCAGCAGAATGCCAGCACTTAACCAGGAGCCTGGCTTGGTTTGAAAGATGGCACCATTACCAGGAACCCCAGGAAGTCCCAGCAGTGCCCAGTATTTCCACCTGTGGTGAATGAGAGAATATGATGAGCGGGACATTACATGGGCATGGTGCATAATTAACAAGGGGAGGTTGGAAAGATAGCACAAGAACCCCACTAGGCCTCAATGAGAGAAACCTCCATAAAACTCACCAAAACTGACCTTTAGCTAATTTCTGGTCAAATCAGCCTACCCTTTGAATAAAGATATTATTTATTGAATTTGAATTCCACCATCAACAATGGTAGGACTTGAACCCATGTCCCCAGCTTGAGTTACAAGTCCAGTGACACCACCATCTCTTCCCCATCCTCTTACTACCTTGTTCTTTCTTCCAAATGGATGATTAGAACTGCAAAACTTACTGCAGCTAATTTTATGGTCAAATTGCTGAAATTCCAGGCCTAACAACACCAAGGCAGTTCCTTCACCACAAAGACTGTAGCAGTTCAAGAAGAAAGCCCATCTCCTTAAAGACAACTAGGAAGGGCAACACCCATAGTGTCAAAACATCTTTTTTTTTGAAACATATGAAACTGTCCCATCAAATGACAGTCGTAACCCTTTAACAACTGCAGATGAAATAGTCAGTGGTGCGGCTGCCCTAAGAAAGCTTCCAGTGCAAGTCCCACATGGGCTCAGAATCCTGCAGTTAACATGTAAATTGTCTGGCCTTCGAAGATTTCAGGATGTCACCGCACCCAAAATATCAATAACATACTATTTGCTGTGTCAAACTCGATCTGTCACAGTTGAATCTAGACTGTTTGAGTCTCCTCCAAAGTTCTAATGGTTCCATGAAATGTTATATTTAAGAGTATTCCTTACAGATAATGGTAAAAATGGACTTTACTTCTGTCATCTGATTATTAATACGTAGGACATTTCACAGAGTGAAATGATTTTAAAAAGAGAAAATCATTGAATTAAGATGGTCACGGTGATCATCTGACCACAGGTTGAGCCATTTCATGAAATTATCAATAAAGAAAATCTAGTCTGAACTGAAATTAACCTTGTCATCAAAATAACTGAAACCAGTCACTCAGGTCTATATCTCTTGTTTGATTATCACCATTCTGGAAATTTAATATGTTGAAATGAAAAAACCCACTTCAAGCAGAAGCTTTTAGGCAGAGCAGAGAGAACAGAATGGCTTCATAACAGCAGATTTGGAAGGTCCTCTATCTCCCTGTCTTCTCTTAGCTTGTTGAAGCACATCAGAAAAAATATCATATTTTCCAAAAATTCAACAACATCTACAAATTTCACTGATGATACAAGCCATCAACTAAACAAACTTGCTGCCAGTTTATGCCTAACACTTCAAGCCCTCTAAGGTCTTATTAAACTGCATACTCTTAATCTTTTTGTACCAAACACTCACTACTTCTTAAACTTTATACCTGTGTTTCTTGTATGTTTGAAGTAATGTTTAAATATTTTTCCTCAGAGTTAGTAGGTAAAATAATTCATCTTCCTTTCACTCAAATCAATCTTGTAATTGGTTTGCTAATGTTAAACAAGTGAACTCCATTTTAGTTGAAGTGTAATATAGCTAAAAAAAACTTAAAATTTTTTGTTGAGGCAAATGAGGGGTTTAAAAAGACACCAATTGGAATTTGCCTAAGTTTTATCTGAAGTGGGAAGAAAAGAAACAAGCACAGCCTCACAGTTGACTTTTTTGAATAACTGGCTAGTGTTTTGTCTGATGCTGTTCTGACCCAATCTGCCTGAATTTCTCCATTTGTGGCTGTGCAGTTTTGAGAGGTTTTCCTGTGGTAAAAGTGTAATATGAAGGTTGAATGAAGTTGGATGCGAAGAAAAGCAGCAATACCCCCAAAGCCCAATTCCTGTAACCCCCCTGTAAACTTACAGGTGTCTCAGCAGCTGGGTGTCTGACTGAATCCTTCCTGCACATGGAGCTGGGGAATGGTCTGTCCCTGGTGTGACTGCAACATTGTGTGGCCAGCTCCGGTAGAGTGGGCTGGAGGTTCGAAGCGGAGCGGGAACGGTCAGTGGGCTGGAGGCTCAGAATGGAGAGGGGGCGGCCAGTGGGCTGGTGGCCTGAGCAGAGCGGTGATGGCCAGCGGGCTGGAGGCTCGGAGTGGGGACGGTCGGTGGGCTTTAGGATCGGAGTGGGGACAGTCAGTGGGTGGAGGATTGGAGTGGGGACGGTCGGTGGGCTGGAGGATTGGAGGGGGGACGGTCAGTGGCTTTAGGATCGGAGTGGGGGCGGTCAGTGTGCTGGAGGTTAAGAGTGGGGACGGTCAGTGGGCTGGAGGATCGGAGTGGGGACGGTCAG